CTTTTTTCCCAAGATTCCTTCTTTTATTATTTCCTTTCTGTTTGGAGAACTTCCTTTAGCCATTTTCTTAGAGCAGGTGTGCTGGCAACAAATTCTTTTAGTGTTCCTCATCTAAATATGTTTTAATTTTCCTTTCATTCTTGAAGGGTATTTTTGCTGAAAATACAGAATTCTGGCTTGGCAGTTCTTTTAGCACTTGAGAAATATGTTTTCTTTGGGCCTCCATGGTTTCTATGAGAAATTTGCTGTCATTTGAATTGCTTTTCCCCACTCTGTGTTATTTCTTGCTGCTTTCAAAATTTTTTCTGTCTTTAGTTTTATTAAATTTGACTGTTATATTTGTTGGCATGGATTTCTTTGGGTTTATCCTTTCTGGGATTTATTCTGCTTTTTGAATCTGTTGGCTTATGTCTTCTGTCAAATTTGGGAAGTTTGCAGACATTTCTTCGAATACTTTTTCAGTCCTGCCCTCTTTCTCCTCTGCTCCAGGGACATGTGTGTTAGATAATTTGTTATAGTCCCACAGTCCCTGAGGCTCTGTATTAAATTTTTCAATCTAATTTCTCTCAGATTGTTCAAATTAAATAATTTTTATGTTCTGTCTTCATGTTTACTGATTTGAACCATTCTTCTGTCCCCTCCATTTTGCTGTTGAGCTCATCTATTGAATTTTTTACTTCAGTTATTGTATTTTTTAAATTCTAAAATTTCCATTTGGTTCTTTATATCTTCTATTTCTTTGCTGCAATTTTTAATTTTGCATTTGTTTCAAGTGTGTTTATAATTGCTCATTGAAGCATTTTTATGATAGTTACTTTAAAGCCTGTCATCTTGGTGTTAGCATCCGTTGATGGTCTCTTTTTTTTTTTTTAAAGATTTTATTTATTTATTTGAGAGAGAGAATGAGATAGAGAGAGAGAGCATGAGAGGGGGGAGGGTCCGAGGGAGAAGCAGACTCACTGCTGAGCAGGGAGCCCGATGCGGGACTCGATCCTGAGACTCCAGGATCATGACCTGAGCCGAAGGCAGTTGCTTAACCAACTGAGCCACCCAGGTGTCCTGATGGTCTGTTCTTATTCATGTTGAGATCTTCCTGGTTCTTAGTATGGCCAGCGAATTTTGATTGAAACCTGGACATTTTGGGCATTATGTTACGAGACTCTGGATCTTATATCGATCTGTTTTAGTTGGCCTTTGTGTTAGCAGGGGGGGTGGGAGTACTATCTCATTACTGCCAAGTGGGAGTAAAAGTTCAGGTTTCCCCACTGGGCCTCTTTTTGGCTCCTTGAAGGCAAGGGGCTGCTCATTAGTGCTGGGCAGAGATAGGAATTCTGTCTCCTTAATGATACAGTGGGAGAGGTTGGCTCTTTGCTGCCTGTAGCTCCCTGCCTGGTCTTCTCTGACACCCCAGCAGCATGGAGAGTTGGGGGGGGACACCTCATTACTGCCAGGCAAGAGTAGAAGTCTGGGCTCTTAATTCAGCCTTTGTTGTGGGTATATGATGGCTACAGGTTTTTCTGTGGTATTTGACTAGGGTGGAATGCTTTTGTCTAAAACTTTTCTGTTTTGCTAGGCGGCACGCACCTTTCCTGCTTCTTTGGCAGGAGAAAGAAGACCTTTTTTTCATTGTTGGGGCTTTTTTTCCCTTCTTCTTCTTTTTTTGTCTACATTCATTGGCATTTTTGGGTTGCCAGCTTCTCTAGCACCAAGACCAGGATATATGAGGCAAAAAGAAAACTGAGCAAGCTCACAGCTCTGACATTCCTCAGTTCCCAAAGTCCCTAGCCAGTCTGCCTTTTTCTCTCCACCTTTCAGATATTTATTTATGTCTCTTTTATATATAATGTCCATGGTTTTTAGTATTATTTGTGGGAGTAAATAAAAGTACTTAAACCCCACCTTTTCAGAAGCAGAAGTCCCCAGTTCATCCTTTTTCGAGCAGTAGTCAGATCTCTTATTCAAGTATAGACCATGTCATTCATAATCTGAGTTTGCAAACACCAGATCCCTACAGTATGCAAAGCTCTTACCAGGCTCTGTGAAGACAAAGAGATGAGACTCTCCCTATTTGTATTAACATTTTTCATCTTGTGGGATACAAAGTACATTTCACAGAGGAAAAAAATGCTGTTGTCTCTGTTCTTAGACACTTCCACAGCAGTGTGTAAAGTCCCTCCACTCCTCAGGAAGCTGCCGTCCTGTACACTCACACACTCATACATGTACACAAACACAGGTTACACTTAATATCAGTGTCCCCTTCATTTAAGCACCATAAAAATTTTAAAGTGTCTTAAGTGGATGTGGGTTTTACTAGTTTGCAATACTAGGAACTTGATAGAACTGACAAATGCTTTTATTGAACTTGAATGCTGTTGTCTGAGGAGAAGCGGTTTCATCACCAAAAGGATCAATGGGTGAAATAAAGAGCCTGGAGGGAATGTTTGGGTCCTTGAGAGAGTGGTAGAACTGGTTCTTAGATTACTATCACTTGGAAAGGTCACTGTTTTCCTTTTTACTGGTTTAAATCAATACCTGGCACATAGTAGATGTTCTATAAAAATAGCACTAGAGAGGATATTTGGGGGTTGACAGTTGGAGGAGCATAGAGTTTACTCAGCCCGCTAGAAAGTACCTTTCTTATTTTGCCTTGGGGTGTTTCTGTCCTGTCTGACTCTCCTGGTATCTCATTGATTCATTCTCTCTCTCTCCTTTTTTGGGGGGGGGGTGGGGGGCAGTACCCAGTGTCTAAATCTTGGCCTAGCATTCTTGTTGAACTTGTTGTTCTTTCTTAGCAAGTAGTGTTCTCAGAAACATCTTCATTGGGCGCCTGGGTGGCTCAGTTGGTTGAGCGACTGCCTTCGGCTCGGGTCATGGTCCTGGAGTCCCGGGATCGAGTCCCACATCGGGCTCCCCGCTCGGCGGGGAGTCTGCTTCTCCCTCTGACCCAACCCCCTCTCATGTGCTCTCTCTCTCTCTCTCATTCTCGCTCTCTCAAATGAATAAATAAATAAAATCTTAAAAAAAAAAAAAGAAACATCTTCATTACAGGTATTCTTAAACACTTCTCTACCAGCATTGCAGAACGTCTATACCTTGCATTCACTGAAGTAACACTGTTCTCAAGATAGCAAGCAAGTTGTGGTTCTTGTTTCGCCCCTAAGCCCTAGTCTCACGTTGATCTTACAGTCTTCCCCTGTCTTTATCAGGGCTTTGTGCCTGTAAATCTTTAAAAAATTATTTCTAAATGGAATATTTCAAACGTTCACGAAAGTCTAAGAAGGTAATGAGATTAAGCCTCCGTACACCCAAGCGCTGATGACCTCTTGGGTGCTGGAGGTCTCAGCATGGGCCAAGCAGCTGGGGTACAGCCCACAAGGCCTTCTGGCAGTTGGCCAGGCCCTGCCAGCAGTGCTGGGAACTTAGCAATTTTGTGTGTGGAGGTATTTTTCCTGGGCCTTTTCACATTTTTACTCCTCGATAGAAAGTGTAGGGAGATGGGACAAATGGACTTTGTAGGATCTGTTGGCTAGTAGACTTAAGTTTTCTTTTTGCCTTCTCTTGTTTTTATACCACTGCAGTCTCTTCATGGGTAAAATGGGAATAATTATTCATTTATCCATTCTAGATATGGTCTTTATTCTTAGAACTTACACTTAGGTAATAGAAACGATAAAAGTAAAACAGAGAACAGAGAGATAGGCTCTCTGAGAATTTAGAGGAGGTAGAAGTACTTCCGGCTGGACAAGTCTGGGAAGGTTTCACAGAAAGGGTGGATGGAAGACAGTCCTTGATGTGGATTTGGATATGGGGAGACCAGAGGAGTAGCAGACATGGGCCAAAGAATGCATCAAGGCACAGAGGTAAAGAGAAAAGTGTCCATCATAGGGGTTCCCCTTTCCTCCTGCTCATAGGAAATGAGAGGTCAAATGAGGTTCCATCTTTGGAATTCTTTGAAAGAAACGTCCACCAGTGTATGTACCTATTAACAGCCTGTCAGGTAGAGGACCTCACAAACCCAGTCTGTGAAACAGGATGTGTGGGTGCATGGAAAGACCCATTAAAGCTGCAGTGGCCGCCTCACTAATCCCTGGTGGTGGGGCTACCATGGCCTACATGTGTAGGTTATGCCCTGGGCCCGCACCTGCAGTTAACGGATGGGGCTAAACCCAGCCAGGCTCTGCCAGCAGAACTGGTCCAGGCTGTTTCCACCCTGAGAAGCACCTTGTTCTGATTTGCCAAGGGCACCATGAGGGCTCAGAATCCGTTTCCTTTTGTTTCTTACCGGTGCCCACATATCGTGGCCAAATATTTAGGATCTCACTGTCATATAATTTGCTAAATTACTTCCTTTAGCCATCTGTAGGGACTCAGTCATCATTTTGAAGACTGGCATGGTATCAAACATTTGCAGAAATTCAGGAGGACATACTCTACTCTCTCAGTTCCATGTTTGCCTTCTGTTCTCCCTGCCACCAACTCGGGTTGGATGCTCAGAATCCCTCCACCGCAGGTGAGGATAAGACAACAAAGCTGCTCAACACCTGCCTTCCCGGGTGACCTGAAATGTACAGGGCACTGGACCCCCCCACCCCCATCCCCCGGCTTCAGGGTCAGGTGCTTCCTGTCCCTTTGGGGCCATCTTGCTACCTCTGTCCTGGCAACCCCTAGTCGTTCCTGTTGCTCCTGAGCCTTTCCGGCACAGCTTCCTTGCTTCTCTATTCCTTTCTCCCTCATCCTGATTGGTTTCATTCTGGAAGGGGAGAGATTCGTTAGAGAGAAGGAAAAGGAGGATTACAGGTAAGGAAGAGACAGGAAGGAAAACAAAGGAGGAAGATAGGGAGCAACATAGCAGGAGAGGCCAGGAAAGTTATAATACAGGCAACATTTGCAGTTCCAGTGGGGGTGAAGGTGAAACCACCAGAGCGACATTTCGGGTGCAGGGACGTCTCTGTCACCATCATCTGCCCTCAGTAACAAGATGACCTTGCTCTCCTCAGGTGTCCTCATGACTTCCCCTGCAGACCATGTCTATGATCCTTTTTGCCTGTGTGGTGAGGGTGAGGGATGGACTGCCCCTCTCGGCCTCCACTGACTTCTACCACACCCAGGATTTTCTGGAATGCCGGAGACGGCTCAAGACTTTAGCCTTGCGACTGGCCCAGTACCCAGGTCGAGGTTCTGCAGAAGGATGTGACTTCAATATACAGTAAGCAAGCATGTTCACTTTTCCAGACCATCTGCAAACTTTGGTTTACTTTTAACCATGTCCTGGGGTACTGTTAGGCCTATCGTGTTGTGTGTTACGAGTGGGTAGGCTGTCAGACAGTGGTCTGGAGGTGGTGAGTATTTACAGCCAGAGAACCAGGGGAGCACGATTATCCTACCCTTGCATGGAGCATGCCGCTCCATCTCCTGCCCTTCTGTCAGCGGAGTGCTCGGGAGCCTCAGGAGCCCTGGGCTCAATCGGTTTTCATGCCTTTAGTTTGGTAGTTTATTCTGCCTTAGATGGAGAGGGGGAGAGTCCAGACGATAACATCAGGGAGGGGAAAGAATGAGGGTGGGAAGGCCAGGGAAATAAAAGACTTACGGCTCTTGCCTTCGGTTTTGCTTTTTAAATTTTTCACCTTTTTAAAAAAATTTTAAAAAATTGAAAACTTTTCTCATTATGTAACGGGAGCAGGGGAGTGAATAATGAGCCCAGGTAGGTCCCTTTGCTGAAGGAACTTAAAGTCTCATGAGGGAACAAGAGCGATAATTTAACTGAATATAATACAGTGGGGAAAATGCTCCAGCAGAAGTAGGCATCGAGTGCTTCCAATAATCCTAGTAATAATGGCTAGTGTTGTTGAGGGTTTTCTGTATGGCAGGCACTACCCTGAGCTCTTTATTGACTTGTGAGGTGGGTAATAGTATTCTACTGCTTTCCAGAGGAGGAAAGTGAGGTTAAGGGACTTAGCTGAGGTTGTCCTGTTAGTATGTGGTAGGGCCAGGATCTGAATGCAGGCAGCTGGGCCCCAAGGGCTGCTCCTCATGTGTTATAGCATTTCTTATTCTAGGACTTAGAGCAAGAAGCCTTTCTACAGGAGGGATCAGGGGCTAGGCGGGGTTTGAAATCTCAAAATGGCTTGTCCTAGATTTTTACATCTTTGTTTTCCATTATTTAGGCCCTCACTTTACCAAGTCCCCCCCTGCTCCCCTTGAACGGTACATTTTTAGCTGACCTGATAAGGTGGGGTCCTTTTAGGGGATTTCAGCCTCAGAATCAGAAAAACCAAAGGAAAAGTCCAGGCTTCACTCCAGGCCTGGTGGTGTGGTTGGGCGAGGAGGGACCAGCCTGAAGGGGGCGGCAGGAGGTTAGCACGTGCAGCTGTCACCCTGTGGCATGGGCTCTGGGTGCTCAGGAGCGAAAACCGAGCTGCATCTGCCTGCATTTGTGGCTCCTGTCTCTGGGTGCCTGAAACCACCTTCCTCCGTGTCCCTTCCTCATTACGCTCAGATTATCTAACATCCTATGGGGACTTGGTGCTGAACTGCAAATAGGAAAACTTTTCTCTGATAAGAAAAAAAAAGAGGTCCGTGACTTCAAATGACATTCTGGGTGCTTCAGTAGTTTTTTGAAAACTGGAGTGTAAAATGTTCTGTTCATTTGTATTTTGGATTAAATGGTCACCATTATTTTTCACAGATGAAACAGGCTTTTTTTTTTTTTTTATACAGGTAAGCAGTACTATAGCTTATTTTATAGTTAAGGAGTTGAAATATTTCCCCACAGTTACCATTAACAAATTACAACAACAGGAATTTATTCTCTCACAGTTCTGGAGGCTAGAAGTCTGAAATCAAGGTGGCGGCAGGGCCATGCTCTCTTGGAAGCTCTAAGGAAGACCCTTCCTGTGCCTCTCTACTACCTTCTAGTGGTTGCTGGCAGTCCTTCCGTGTCCTGTAAAAGAGTTACTCCAGTCTCTGCCTTCTTGATTACGTGGCCTTCTTCCCTCTGTCTCTAATGAAATTTCACACCGGTCACTGGATGGAGCTACTCTAATCCATTATAACCTTATTTTATCTTGATTGTATCTGCAAAGACTTATTTCCAAATAAGGTCATAGTCACAGGCACTGGGAATTAGGACTTCAACATATCTTTTTGGGAGACACAAGTCAGCCCACAAATAGGGGTCCTCTTTCCAACAGAAATACCCATCCTAGAAAGACTTAACCCCTTCTGGAAAGTTCCTCATATAAGGAGGAAGTTATTCTTTTTTTTTTTAATTGACAAAATTTTTATATAGAGACTTCCAATTATAAAAAGATGATAAAACAATACAACCTAAAAACTCTTTGCCAGAAACATCCTGAAATGTGGGTAAATGTCTATGAAAAAGTGTTTTAAATGTGTAGCTGAGCTTGAAAGAGAGAATTCCCAAGCTGCCAGAAATGAAGGGGAACAGAATATCAGGGTGCTGAGTGTGTGAGCTGACACTGAGGCTCCTGGGTAACCAGTCATAAACTTAGGACTTGAGTTTCAGCACGCAGAAAGGGAGAGGCCTTTGGCTTATGTCGTCGGGTGAGGTGTTGGAACAAGAGCCACGCTTGAAGAAGGCATTCTTGTCAGGCGACAGCCCTGGTGGCACGGTGATAGGTGAGAAATAGCTGCCCACCGGTACAGGAGTTGCCCATCTTTACTTGGCTTTGGATGGGAAGGAAAAACAAAGTCTCATCTCAGACATTGAAACCCTGCTTCTGTGGCTCATGTAGGATTGGAGTTTAAGTTTATACTCCCCACGGTCTAGGAATTCCTAAACCAAGGTTCAGTGATCAGTATTGGTTCCAGACTGATGACACTCCTGGAGTAGCTGGCCAAAGCAAATGGAAAACCACTCTGGAAGGAGTGTGCCACAACTCAGTCCTTGAGAGATTCTTACAGAGAAAAAAAGAAGCTCCACACTGGTGCCCTCTCACCAAAAATTACAGAACACCAAAGGAGCTCTCCTACAAAGAGTGGGAGTCAGTAGACACCACAGAGAGAACTCGAGTCCCCAGAACCTGAAATGATAGCACGACAGTCTGGAAAGTAGTAGAAGAAGGAGAAAACCCTGCATCAGTTTTATGAGACCAGAATAACCCAGTACCACAACCAGATGGAGACAGTGCAAGAAAGGAAAATGATAGGCCAGTCTTACTTTGCGTAGACACAAAAGTCCTAAATGAAACATTAGCAAACTAACTCTAGCAGTTGTGTGTATGTGCATATGTACAAACTACCCCACCCCCCCACCGCCAAGAAGACTTTATTTCAGGATGCCAGGGTGATTGAACATTAGAAAGCTATCGATGTCGATTAAAGAAGAAAAATAGTTTGCTCTATAGATGCAGAAAGGTCTGAGGCTACCTCTCCCTAGTGGAACATGCATCCCTCATGCAGGAATCAAGAAGAGTGATCACACACTGTCAGTGGCAAATTACTGCTCTCTAGTTTAGAGGAAGGACCAGAAGGGCGCAGTGCCAGGTAAGCCCAGCTGAAGAGACAATATACATGCAGCAAATAGCTACAGGGCTGTTCAAGGCCAGGCAAGTGCTGGGCGCAGAGCTGGTTGTGTCTGAGTATGGGGCGGGAATACAGGGGTCTGCTCCCTGCTAATGCAGATGTTGCCCTTTTGTTTCAGTTTTTCTTCTTTGCGGGATGTGGCTTGCATGGCTATCTGCTCCCGCCAGTGTCCAGTGGCCATGGCCTTCAGCTTCCTGGAGACCGTGTGGTGGGAATTCACAGCTTCCTACGACACCACCTGTATTGGCCTAGCCTCCAGGCCGTACGCCTTTCTCGAGTTTGGTTTGTAACCTTCTGTCTTCTATATTGCTCTCTTACGGCATTGTATGTGTCGAACTGATGGTTTAGATTTGGCTTTGACCACCAAGGAAAACCCCTGGAGGTGCTATGACATGTCACTGGAGATCCGCCTGGTACCCTGAGATTTCACAGTGATTGAAGTGGCCTGGAAGCTTCAAGCTTTAGCACTGTCTTCCCATCTCCTGGGAAGAGAATTCGAATGAGGGGCCTGAGGCAGGGTTGGGGAATGGTGAAACCCGTCTCTGTTATCCACCATAATCCCCAAAAGCAGGGGTCAGCAAACTGTGGTCCGAGGACCGGCTGCCTATTTTTGTAAATAAAGTGGAAGGCAGCTACACTCATTCACTTACGGGTCATCTGTGGCCGCTTTGCCCCTCACCAGCAGAGTTGAGCAGTTGTGACAAAGACCATACAGGGTCTAGAAGCCGAAAATATTGACTACGTGGCACTTTAAGAGGGTTTGCCACCCCTGCTCTAGAGCAGTGCTACTCAGCGGGCGGTAGGTGAGCTTGTTCCTCTATCGTGAGGTAGGTACCGAAAGTGAGAATAAGAAGTGTTTAGAAATTCATACAGTAATTTGACATTCCTGCAGTCTTTTTTTTTTTTTTTAAAGATTTTATTTATTCATTTGAGACACAGAGATACAGAGAGAGAGAGCATGAGCAGTGGGAGAGGCAGAGGGAGAGGGAGAAGCAGGCTCCCCGCTGAGCCAGGAGCCCGACACAGGGCTCGATCCCAGGACCCTGGAATCATGACCCAAGCCGAAGGCAGACATCCAACCATCTGAGCCACCCAGGCGCCCCACCTCCAGTCTTTTTATTGCATTTTATCAAAGTATCAGTCTGCAACCATTTGGAAATAAGAAAAACTGGCCCTTCGCTCAGAGGTCTGAGAAATACTACTCTGGAAGAGGATAGTTTTTTCCTAGGCGTTCCCAGAGAGGCCCCGTAGAGGCTTGATAATTACAGTGTATGCTCTGTTTTTCTCAGGTGAGTCAAGTCATCCTGAGCTCTTGGGAGAACAGGAATTGAGGTGGGAGTTGTGGGGCCTTCTGTGGCCTCTGTGTAGGCAGCTGCCATCTCTGTGATGCTCTTGAACGAGGGGCTGGCCACAGTTGGTGGGTGCAGAGAAGTGTTGCCACGTGTGCTTTCTGGAGCTCCTGCCAGAGCCCTCAGACTCCCTCATGGGACCCACCGGCTGCTGCATTTCTTTGTCACCCAAGAGGTGCTGGGGAAGTCCCTGGCACGCAGGCCTCTGCCTGGTAGACCTGTGACACAGACAGAAGGTTCTCCCCAAGTCTCCCTGTGAGGCCTGGTTCACTGGTGCTCTCAGCCCCACTTCTTCCTGCAAAGAGGGCAGGCTGGCCCCGGACAGACCACAGCTGTGGCGTCCCTTGGCTGTCAGTCCATTAGCAGCTGTGGACTGTTCTTCTCCCCCCTCGGCTCTGCATGTGCCTTCCTTCTCAAGTGCCGTGCTTGATCTGACAGCAGACCCTGCCCCAGCATCATGCGTGCTCCCTACCGAGTGAGAGGAGAATATAGTAGTAGCGATTCTAGGTATGCATTATGCATCATTTTGCTTTGCCAATATGTATGAAACTCTACTTCAAATACTTATTAAAACTTGGTAATAGATTAATACTTTAAAATATATAATCTTAGTTTACACAATATATTCACATTTATTTGTAATTTTTTTCTCACATGCCTTTTTTTAGGGTAATTAGTTCAAGAATAACTCTCTCCCCTTTTTAAGCTTTGAAACAGTCGGTGAATTGCCCTGGATTGTACTACCAGTAGTGGCTGAGCTAAGACTCAAGCCCCTATCCCTTGACTCCCTCATCGCTGAGGTTCTGGAAAGCCTTGTTGCCTTCTCCGTGGACACTCATGTTTTAAGTATTATGCACTGAAGAAATCGATGAGACCAGTAATGACGCATAGTAATCATTTGACCTTTAGGTATATCTCGATACTCTGGCTGACCTACTAGCTTGCTTAGAAATGTAAACTTCATTTTGCACAGATTGTTCTATGATACCCATTTTGATGCAGCTGCTTAACTTGGGTTGCTCTCTTTTTTGCAGACAGTATCATTCAGAACGTGAAGTGGCATTTTAACCATGTAAGTTCCATTCAGATGGAGAGCAGCTTGGAAAAAATTCAGGAGGAACTGGAGTTCCAGCCTCCAGTGGTTCTCACGCTGGAGGACACGGATGTGGCAAATGGGCTAATGAACGGTCACACACAGATACACTTGGAGCCTGGTAAGTGGTTTGCTGTGCCCTGGTGTTGATGAAGATGAGGTGACGTTAGGTATTTCAAATGGACAGTGACTTTTTTTTTTTTTTCCAATCAGGGAGGTGTTTTGGGGGGTGGGTGTATAAAACATGTGGGAAAATATATGGACTGATCCTGTTTCCAGGTGACTGTTAACAAAACACTTGACTGTTATGATAGTGAGTTGACTGGGGGAGGGGGCAACTCATGATGACATTCAGAAGAGGGACTAGGCAGGCTGTTTTCTTAACCAGGATGAAGTTTACAAGTTTAAACATAAAGGATGTCACTTCCTTAGGTTTGTACATGCTCTCTCTCTCTCTCTCTCCTCTCTATTTTTCCCTTTGACAGTAATCCTTATCTCATCTTATCACTTAGTGCAACATTGCAAATCTCCACTGAGACACTCCTGTCCCCCTTGACGGAGGGAGGGAAGGGCTGTGGGGATGTGAGTAGGCAGGGCCAGAGCTGCAGCTTCTAGCGCTCTCACTGTCTGCTTCCCCATGAGCCCTGGGGACGTCCCTCTTTCCCTGTGGTTTTCCAAGCTGAGTGCCTTGGCATCCCGTGACGCAGTCTGGCATTAACACCATTTGCCACTCAATACCTAGCACGTAACAAAGCATGTTTTTTTTTTTTTTGCATTCCTTGTTACAATTACACACAATTAAACCAATTTTTAATTAAAGTGGATATTTACATTCTAAACATTCTGTAATGGTGTAAGAACTGAATCCTTTGAGAGATAGAGTTGTCTACACTGTAACAGTCTAATTATTTTAACAGTTTTTAATCTAAACTCATTGCTTAACCTTTAAAAGTGGTGTATTAAAAATGTTCACATTTTTGGCTTACCTTTGTGTTTTGATTTAATCTGTTTCAACCAATACATTCCTGGATCGGCTCTTATGCCAGTCAGTAAGTTGTCATTGATACTGGGCATGGACTTAACTTTTGTAGAAGGAAGACTGGGTATTTGAGCCCCAAACTTCCTCTTTTGCCTTATGTAGAGATGGGGTAACTTTGTAACATGTGTTTTGTTTTTTAACCACTTAGACAAGAGAAGCAAAATCCAGAAAATGTCAACTTGCTTATCTTTCTAGGACATTTTACTGTGGTTTGACTCACCCTATTGTCCCGAGGCTAGAATCTTTACAGGTAGCATGTTCTGTTCCAACAGGAACTTTGATGGCTCAATGGAAACTAACACACTAACAATAGGCATCAGTTGGGTTGTGGCTAGATATTTGTGTGTGCGTGTGTGCATGTGCGTGTGCGTGTGTGTGTGAAATGTAGGACAAGAAAGGATGATTTTAAAAGATCACAGTAAGAGAATGGGGGCGGGGGAGAGTCACCATTTAATTGTGTGACCCGGAATCAGTCTTAGCAGGTATCTTTGAAGAGAGAATGATCATTTGTTCTAGAGTTCCAGAAACAGCTTATTGCTCAAATAATCAGTGTTTCCCTCCTCTTCCCAATTATTTTAGAATTTAAGAAACTGCATGTGCTACAGATTGCTTTAGAAGCACAGGAGACATTGCATACTGTCCTTGTTTAGAAGTTGAGAGTTGAAGTATATGATAGAAATGCTGTCAGAATTTGACAACCCATTTACAAGTAAAGCCATAAGTTGCTTTAAATCAGGATTTCTCAGTCTAAGCTGTATTGACATTTTGTACTGTGTAATCCCTCGCTGTGAGGGGCTGTCTTGCGCATTGTAGGATGCTGAAGCCTTCATGGCCTGTACCCACTAGATGCCAGTAACACCCTGTCCACGGTGTTGACAACCCAAAATGTCTTCCAGGCATTGCCAGATGCCCACTGAGGGCCTAATCGCCCCTGGCTGAGAACCACTGCTTTAGATAGAAAGAAAATCAGGCCTTGAAAAACCTGTGCTTACTCAGAGAAGGACCTCTTTCTCGAAGAACTCATTTCAGATTCCCAGTTCCATTCTGTCCTTCATTTCTTGCCTTTTATGCTCTCTAACAGCAGCTGCTTTTAATTAATACGTTTGTAATTCTGTGTTTAACATACTGAGCCTATCATTAGTGGAAGTCTAGTTAATGTCTTTGTTTATTTTTCTTTCATATAGAAATTATTTTCACTAGACACTTATTTTTTTTAATTGTGAAGCTCCTAATTTCCGAATGGAACCAGTGACAGCCCTGGGTGTCCTCTCGCTCATTCTCAACATCATGTGTGCTGCTCTGAATCTCATCCGTGGGATTCACCTTGCAGAACATTCTTTACAGGTAACCTTTTTTATTGTAGTTTAAACGGAAGGACCTATGATGGAAGAAACTGGTGGGGATACACTTTACTTACAAGGTTATTATGCACAAAGATTTCAAAAATTTTTAATTAAAATACGATTTTTATAGTCAAGTTTATTCTTTATAGTGGGTTGAACAAATACGAGACTTGCTCTTTTGTATCTGTTGTCCTCAGAAGCCAGAGGGGCCTGCCGGGGGAGCTGGTGAGAAACAGCGTGCTACGGGGGCATCCTTGGGGCCCCAGGAGTCACTGCAGGGGCCCGATTGCTCAAGAGCAAATTTGATTCTCAGACTTTGAGGTTCAGGCTGTGTCCCCCTGGAAAAAGTTGCCACCTATTCTGATTTTTATCATGCAGATGCCACCTTCCCTGTGTCTTTGTCAGAGAACTGTAGCACCAGGAAGCTGATTTGCCAGTCTCCTCCAATCAAAGCAACTTTCTATTTCAGTGCTTCTAAAATAATTTTTTTTTCTAAATTTTCAAGTATTTAAAACACTTTTAAAAAATACAGAATCATTGCAGGCATAAACAGATAGATACTACTTTTAAAAAATAGAGCCATAATGCTCACAGCCGTGACTGTGGTAGCCAAAGTCCGAAGCACAGCTGAGGCTGAGTCTCAGGAGACTAATGTAGGCTGATCTGTGTGGAGAGTGGCAGCAGTGACCGCCTGTCACCACATCCTGTCTTTAGCCAATGTGTGCTGTGGTTCCCACTCCTATTTTTTATGATTATTCATACCCAGATACTTACCAAGCGTCTGTACACACTAGAACAGGTGCCTGGCCAACAAGATGGTAGAGTGTGGTGACATCACTAAGGAGGTAGCGGTACCTGGAGGTGGGCAGAATTAGGGAAAGCTGAGTGCTGACAGATGAGTAGGATTTTGAGAGGTAGTGGTGTTGGGGGGCAGTCCAGTTTGGGGGCTTAGCGCAGATGCACAGGGACATGAGGGTGCGTGGTGTGTCCAGGCTGTTGAAAACAGTTGCATGCCAGCCGTTGTTCTGGTAAATAAACGGGGACTTATGTCTCCTCCAGCCAGCGATTTTGTAGTATCAACCATACCAGAGCGAATGAGGCGTGAAGGGCTTCATGTCCTGGTGTTTCCATTCATCTGAATATTCCTTTTCTTGTGTTTCTTATATTTGTTTTAGGTTGTCCATGAGGAAATTGGAAATATTCTGGCTTTTCTTATTCCTTTTGTAGCCTGTATTTTCCAGGTGGGTGAAACATTAACATTTCGGTGAGTGGGTTGAACCCCATGGTCCTATTTTGTTCTTCTGTTGGAACCATCAACAAGTTTCTAGATGTGATTTTGTTCCACCAAGGCATGTTATGGACAATACCAGGTCCTTCCTGGAAGGACCCTAGGCCCATCCTGTCCAGCTGTCTCATTTTACAGAGGAAGAACATTGGGCTCAGAAAAGGAAAGCCACTTGCCCTAGGCCACAGAGCCTTTGACAATGGCTGAACAGAAGCCGGGAATTTGGATTCGACTCCCAAGAAGGGAGGGATGTGGGGATTGGGTTGGGCCTGACTAATGTGAAGCAGTGTCTTACTTATTGTCAGGGCAGTCCAAGTATAGAAACGTCTTTCTGCAGAAGTAACAACTACTTATATGTGCTTTTATTTTTTCTTAAACCGGGACTAGGTTAAAAAAAATTTTTTTTAAAGATTTTATTTATTTATTTGAGAGAGGGAGAGAGAGAGAGAGCATGAGCAGGGGGGAGGGGCAGAAGGAGAAGCAGACTCCCCGCTGAGCCGGGAGCCCCACACGGGGCTCGATCCCAGGATCCTGAGATGATGACCTGAGCCGAAGGCAGACGCCCAACCAACTGAGCCACCCAGGCGCCCCCCCCCCAAAATTGTTTTTAACAGTAATGCCATCTGACTCAAATCTGTTCTTAGGAGGTGAGATAACATTACAACATTAATAGTGGGCTTTGATTATTTAGTTATTTTCAAGTAAACTTCATACTTAAGGGGTGGAGTAAAATGGAGCTTTTGAATCTCCTATAGGCAGAGTTAATTCTAGTAGAAAAACCTGACCGTAATTTTCTTTCCTCATCCTCCACAAAGGCTAGGACTTTAGTACTTTCTCTACATTCTTAAGCTTTTTTATTTTTTTTTCCCCTTTCAGCTAAAATTTCTGTTCTCAGGACACTTCCTCTCTCTTCCACATCTATCCTAGAATGGTCTGTTTTTTAAGAATGACATAATTGTGTCAAAAGGAATTTTCAACCCAGGACTGAAAATGCACTCATTTTTGAGAAATCAAGTCTCCGGAACCTTGGGTGTTGCCATTTGAGGTGCCCAAAGCCTGAATTTCAGGGCTGTGGGGGTTTTACCCCTTGGCCTTTGTTCCCTCAACTGCATTCATGTACTTGGATAGCTCTTTCAATGGGGACCTCTCTCCCACCCACTGGAGCTTGAGCCTTTGTTGAATTGCTCTGGGTTTTGGGAACGTGCTTCTTGTTTTTTTTCAACGTTGAACCAAAAAGCTGCTTTTTACCTTTTGCAGAACAGGAATGGCCTCTTTTCTGTGTGATAGCCCTATACAAAATACTGGTCGCTCTCCCGGCTGTGAGACTTTCCCTGTGTCAGAGATGTTTTTGAAGACATGATAAGGGGCATGGCTGGGGAACAGTGGTCCCTGATGTAGTTGTAACTCAGGAAAAACGAATGATAAAAGCATGGCTCTTTTCTCTGGCTTTCGTGCCTGTCATGACTCCCCTGAAGGAAGAATCCAGCTGGAGGCCAGTCAGCCTCGTTGGGGTGTCTTGGCCTGGCTCCTTTCCCTTTACCTGCATCTCTTCTTTCTCCACAGCCCCCAGCTGGGGCATTTCTGTCTGTATTTCTTAAACGTGTTAAAGAGTGTCGTGTCCTCATTCATCCTGTGACATCTATTTCACTTCTCTTCTCTCTTCTGAATCTCCACTTTCACCTGGTGATTACCAGCAGCTTACCAGCTTACCCAGTGCGTCCAGGCTCCATTGTAATGAATTCGGTTTAATAAGCTAATGTGCGTGCAGGTGCGAGACGTGAATCTTACGTCCGACCCATGGCCATTTCCTCATCTCTGACTGGACTGCCTCTTACGGTGTCATTTCAGTGTTATTTGTACCTGTTCTACAGTCCAGCCAGGACTATGAAGGTGGTGTTCCTGCTGCTCTTTATCTGCCTGGGCAACATGTACCTGCACGGGCTGCGGAACGTCTGGCAAATCCTCTTCCACATAGCGGTGGCTTTTCTGTCTTCGTATCAGATCCTGACCAGGCAGCTTCAGGAGAAGCAGTCTGACTGCGGAGTTTGAAGGCGACACTGTATGATGAACGGATCCTTTGGCTTTCTCAGGAGGGTCATCTCTGTTTCCCTTCTGGCTTCTCGACTTCACCTCAAGTTTCCACCCTTGAAGTTCCCTTCGACCAAACCAGGCCGAGCCCGAGAAAGTGGGGGATTTTTAACAGGTGCAGTGGAAGGCAGGAGGTGGCTTGAGACCCAGGCCCCGGTTTTGTGCTGAGCGTTATGGCCAAATCTCCAGGTCTGCACCTCTCCTTAGGTGAGGATCTGGGGGCTCACTCCCAAGGAGCATTATTGGAAGATCAGAACGGAATTGTTTTGGTCTTTAAATTGAATGACACAATAAACCACGAGATTCAATAACACTAGTTTTAGTAGCTGGCAGTTGTCTCTGAGAAACCTTACTTTAAAACCCGTATCAGCTTTTCAGTCTAAATGTGACTTGGTTAGTTTTTTGTAGAGGGTCAATACAGGGTGAATTAAAGATTTTAAAATATGGCTCAGAAATATAAGCTAGATAAATTTTGTTTACATTTTTTGATAACTTAGGTCCAATGTGATACCTTTAGAATATTTAAATGTATTTTGGATATAAATTGTGAACTTATCTTCATTAAGGGAAAGGACAAACTTAAGCTGAGAAAATGGTTAAGAAAGCTGAATTTATTTAATTTATATATAACGTTTTATGGTAGTGGGGCTGCGTGGGTACAGAAATGTTTTGTATTTATTTGCAAGGTATATCTGAGTATTTTAAAAATTGAGTGACCAGTGCTACTGGATCATAGCTTATGAGCATGAGCCTGAGCTTATAAACCTGAGAATTTCAGGATTCTTTGCAGTGGGCCACAGACCGGAGTAGGTGAATCACATAGTGGCAATTTACAGATGCAGGTGGTATTGGAAAAAAAAACAAAAACAAAAAACTATTGTCATCAGCCTTGTACATGGCAGCCGAGTGCCTGTCATTTTAATGATGATCAATGCCTGACCCTGTGTGCCTGTTCCCAGAAGCCCTCCCAAATTAATTACTCCTTGACACCTTTCCCAGTCATCATAATTAGATCGAGGGCCTCATTCTTTTTTTTTTTTTTTTTTGAGGGCCTCATTCTTTATGAACAGGAGTTAAGTAGGTGTTAACTTTTTTAAAGCTTCATAGAGATATAATTAACCCTGTGCTCTGCAAAGTTACTTTTCTTGTCTCATTGTCAAAATAGTTGATTGGTCACAGCTTTCCGAAATGGGGCTCTAAATAAGATCGCTTAGATCTCCAGAAATTTCAGCCTGGGTTGTCCAGTACCATTCAGGAGGCCATTTTGGGAGCTTGCCCTTTGGATTCTTCTTGGTAGAAGTCTGGAATCTGAATAGCCCAACTGCAATTGCGTGGGATTTCGGGTTGAATTATGTGGTCTTGATAAATGAAAAAATCCCACTTTGATAGTTTTTAAAAGTTGAAAACCATTGCAAGAGTTATTAAGTACGTGGGGAAAGCAAGAGTATTATTTTAGGGAATTCAGTTGTACTTGGTTGTATACTGTTAGTGCATTGCTATTGAGCTACCTTGATGTCACTTTAAGAAAATCAAGTTCATGTGACTGACAACTGTTGGGAAAATGTTGCTGCAGTCATTTTATTTTCTTATAATATAGTTTTCTATTTTTAATCAAACAATATCTGGATGTGAAAGGTATATTGGCAACATCCTCAGATATCAAGTTCACAGTTGTCTCTCCTTCGATTCTGTATCTTCATAATCTTCTGCATACCCAGCAGGTGAATCTAAAGGCTTTCTGGGACATAATTTTGAAGAGATGATAAAATAGAATGGGAAGCCAAGGAGGGGAGACAAATCCTTGTACATTAGAAGCACCAAAAAAAAAAAAAAAAAAGGCTTTAAAAGTCGATGAGAACAGCTTACAAGTGAATTGTGGGTTTTTTTTTTCTTTTTCTTTTTTCGAGCCCTTGTGTTATTGGTGTTGCCACGTAGCCCTGTACCCCAGATGCTCTTCTTCTTGGGGTCTGAGCCTGTGATCCACATCCAGCAGACCCTGAAGAGGAGTCCCTCCTGCTGAATGCTTCCTACACCAGCAGGGAGGTTATCTACACTTGGTTGAATGTGGTTGTCATCAGTTAGCATCTACGTGGGGTTTGAGGTTGATTTTTGCAAACAAAAGGGAAAAGGTGCACAAACAGTACAAAACAATGACCACATAAACCTTGTTTAACTAGAATCCAGCTGAAAGAAGCCTCAGCTCATTGGAGGAAGAGACAAGCAAGAGGAAAGGAGTTCTGGGAATATTGTCCAACGGAAATCCCAGGCTGAGGGTTGACCTGGTTCAGGCCTGGAATTTTGTTCCCTCCCCCCCCCCCCCACCGTGTCATCCTTGATGCCAGAAAGCTGGCCCCCCATCGCAGGAGTTATCCTTACTACCCCACAGACTCATTGCTGTTCTAGCACTTTGTTTTCCCAGGGGTTAAATGCTACCTGTCCAACCGACCTCGCAGGGGTAGATCTGGGAATAGATGAAATCATGTTGGAAACAAACCTTCAAAGTGCCTTCTGGGATCAGATGCTGCAAGATCTTAATATCAGAGTATGTTACTCCCATCTACTGTATCGGGCTGGGAATGTGGCTCAGGGCTTTTCACCAGGGTTTCCCAACCAAGGGGCCAAGGCCCAAAGGGTTTTCCCTTCCCCAAGTATGCTGGTCAAAGAAATGCGCAGACTCTGGTTTTCACTTCCCTAGGCTAGCCTTACCGCGATGAGGATCGTTCCTGAGTTTCTTTTTCCTGGGTGGAGACAATCGGGGGCATATCTGGGGTGGCACTTCCTCTCAGTACGGGAGGCCCCACCACCGGCAGCAGAAGGAATGTGACCAGAGGCTCCTGGTTTTGCTTCTCAGGCTTGCACGCTTACTACCTGTGAACTCTGTTGCAGGCATCGTGAGGCAAGGCCCACCATTTTAAAGTTCCTTAAGGGGTGGGCCAAAGGGTGTCAAGAAGAGTGCTGAAATTCAGACATTCAGTCTCATTTCCATCACCTCACCTGGAGCGCCCTGTTCCTTTCCTAGGTGCCCCCATTCTCCAGGACTCCTCTGCCTCTTTCCATGTCTGTCCCACACATTCCAGCCCTGGACACAGGCTGAACCTGGAATCTCTTGGAGGGATGAGAAAGCCATCTTTGATTGTAGTTGCTGGGGTGGGTACAGGAGCTTCAGAGTGGGGGCAGACTGCACTGAGGCCCAGCTCTCTTCCTCTTTGCCCCCGGGAGCTTCAGCACACACTTAGGAGTCCACCCTCAGAGGGGAGTAGCACTTTGGTGCTCAGAGTCAAAGATGACACCCAGCAGGGCCAGCTGTTGGGGGCGTGGAAAGCAGGAGACAGATGGGGAGCAGAGCCCGGGGCATGTTGGGGCTGCATGCGGCACCATCCAGGGCTGCTATTTGCTGTTCCTTGAAGGAGTCAGCCACTCATTGTAACACGCGGGATGGGTGGCCTTAGGAGTCTGCTGCCATGCGTGCCCAGAGCAGCACAGGTGAGGACCAGTAGGCATGGGAGTGTTTGCGGGGACAGATGTGCGCCCCTGCTCTGGTGTGGCTCGCATTCCAGATGTTCCTGCACAGAATCCTGCCCAGGTACGGGGAAGCTCCACTGTGCACTGTGTTAATAATGGTGGAGGAAGAGAGAGGAGATGTGCCCGTGAGAGATGGGGGAGGCCTGGGGATCAGCTTGACCCTTCCACTCAGCCCTGCACCACCGGGGGCAAGTCATGCCCACGGGCCTCAGTGTCCCTAACTTGGCAGTTCCCCCGGCATGCTCTCATGAGGCTAAAAGCCTAGTGGAGGAAAGTACTGGGTGAATCCCTTGGTCGCGGGCAGGAGGAGAAAGACTTTCACCCGATACAAGGAAGTCCATGCTCCAGGCAGCACGGTGTGGCTGTGTCTTCCAGGTTTTACAAAACCGGCATTTTATCAAGACTGCAATGTAAACGGACTCATTCTTTCACTCTAGAAAGGAAGTGGCCTTTCTCCTCCTTGAACCTGCCTCCTGCCCTCTAGTCCCAGAGCTCTTGGTACCATTGGCGTTGGGCCCTCCAGGGTCCAGGGAGGCCGGTTCTGCGGGTTGGAGCAAACCTCAGGGTCCGTCCCCGACCCAAATGAGGAGAGCTCTGATTCTTCCATCTGGGAGCAGTGACGTCAGACTTCTGTTTCTGGGGAAACGTCTTGGCAGGGAACCTGTGGAAAAGGGCTTGTCGGTGAGATCTGGGAATGGCCGGATATGGAAACATCTGCCCATGTGTACTGATGGCAGAGCCACCGCCCACAAGCGCCTTTTATTTAGGGTAAAATCAAATCCATCGTTCTAACCTGTGCTTCCTTAGCCCTCATGTGATCCCAGGGTTACTTCAGAAGTATTATTTCATGAATTATTCATATGACTTGACCCCCCAGAATTCTGTTTTATTTAATAGACTTTTCTACTAAGAGCATAAAAGGTTGCAGCTGATTGAGCCAGGGCAAAACCATTGACTTCACATATTTTTGAATGCTTGCTGTCCATGTCATACAAGCTTCTTACTGTTTTCATGTAAAAACAAAGATCTATTTTGAATAAATGATGGGTATGTTTTAACAGACTCTCACACAGTAGTAAAGCCTAAACTCGTGTTAACGTATGTAAAGAATATTGTATAGCCATTTATATACCATGTATATATAAATCAAATAAGGTTGCTTCAGAAGTGAGAGGAGAATAAATCTAAGGTGCTTATTAACTTGCGTGTAGTCGTGTAAAAAATTCTGAGCGACCGGTCTGTTTTCCCAGAGGGTGTGATGTGGGCCTGGCGTAATGGAGGGGGGATGTTGAGGGAGGTGGACTTCAGGTCCTCCTGTCCAGTGTCTGGACAGGTGCACGGCCTCAGTCCCTAGCATTAACGCCTAGACTCTGGAATGCAATCATGGGTCCAGGAGAGACCTTGGCAAAGCCAACACAGCAGCCCTCGGGGTCGGGGGCTGGGCAGGGAGGCCTGCCTTCTCTGTAGGCTCTTGTCCTGCTTCTCTGTGCCTGTGAGCAGGCCCTTACCCTGCACTAGATTCTGAGCGCCTGCTTAGTTTTCATCTCCCAGGACAGCCCCGCCACCAAGTGGCCAGCAGGAGGCGCAGCGGCCTGCTGGTCGTCAGGCTCCGGGCCCAGGGGACTGCCCCCTTTTGCAGAGGTCCTTCCTGAGGCGCCTGACAGAATTCCCAGAAAGGAAGCAAGTGCACCAGCTCTCCTGCCCATATCCCAAACACACTGGGGGAATGCGTGCTCCCAGCTTCTCTCCACAGTCTGTCCTGAGTGAAAAACTCTGGGGGTGGGGCGGGGGGGTGGGGAGGGCAAAAGCTTCCAAAATAAGCACAAAGTTATTTGGGTTCTGGGATTTGTGAGTTGGCAGAGCCTTGGGACACCACCCGGTTCAACCCCTTGTTGCTCAGGTGGGGAAGTTGAGGCCTGTCCGAGGGAGCCAGTGACAGTGCAGCCGAGAGCTGCGTCCCCTGGGCTGGGAATAAGGTGCTCTACGTACGGCAGCACCGCAGAGAGGAAATGGGGATGTTGGCCCATGAAAGATGCCCTTGCTGTGCCAGAAGGGCCGCGTGCCAGTGCAGGCTGATGAATTGCCTTCCTTTTTCTTGAGCTCCACCCGCTAATGGGGCCCGGGAGCAGAAGCGCCGCGTGACAACTGCCAAACAGCCTCGAGCAGTGCCAGTGAGGAGTGAGGCTCAGAGAGGAAGGGGTCCCCCTGGGTGCCCCTGGCAGGGAGGCGCTGCCTGGTTCTGCAGTCCGCTCTCTGATGTTGCTGGGTCGGATGTGCAAGGCAAATGCTGGGAAGTTCACGGAAGAACAGGAAGGAAAGTACCTTTGTGACCTAGGATGGAAAGGTGCTCTTAAAGAAAAATGTTACAGGTACAACCCTGGAGGCAAAATGATTAATTTCATTGCATGCAAATAAGGATATCACGGGCAAAGTTAAACGAATGGGAGGAGATCTTTAAGAATGTCTGAAACCAACAGGGATCACTATACAAGCAATTCCTGTAGGTCAGCAAGAAAGACAGCAACCTCAGGAGAAAAACGAACAATTTACAGAAGAGAAAAACCCAAAAAGCTAAGAAGCATAGGAAGATGTTTAAAATCATTAGAACTACAGAGAATCACATATTTAAACAACAGTAAAGTATCACCTCATGCCTATTAGTTTGGCAAAACTTAGAAAGCTGGATGGCATCAAGTGTTGGAGGGTGTGGGGGCGTATAGGACTTCGTGCACAGGCCATCTGAAGGGCAGTGCCCCTGTCATGGGCTGAACTGTGCTCTCCTCGCATGCATATGCTGAAGTCCTGACCCCCACCCCAGGACCTCAGAACGTCTGTATTTGGAGGTAGGGAGAAGGCAGCCATCTGCAAGCCAAGGAAAGAAGCATCAGGAGAAACCAATCCTGCTGACACCTTGATCTCAGACTTCCAGCCTCCAAACCATGAGAAAATAAATTTCTGTTGTTTAGGGGCGCCTGGGTGGTGCAGTCGGTTAAGCATCGGACTCTTGGTTTTGACTCAGGTCATGATCTCAAGTTCGTGAGATCGAACCCTGGGTGGGACTGCACGCTCAGCATGGAATCTGCTTGAGATTTTCTTTCTCCCTCTGCCCCGCCGGCTTGTGCTCTCTCTTTTTCTCTCTCTCTCTCTCTCAGAATAAATAAATCTTTAAAAAAATTTTCTGTTGTTAAACCACCCAGTTTGTGGTCCTTGGTTATGGCGGCTCTAGCAAATGAATCTGGCTACCTACCCAAATTTCATGTGCACACTGGATCCTTCGCTCCTGGTTCTACGTCCCTGGGAAATTCTTTGACAGATCCTTGAGGGGATAGGTATGAAGTTAAATTTTACAGAAGAATTATTTGTGTTGGTAGAAAGCAGTCTGTGTCTACCATGGACAGATAAAGTGTGCGGGCTCACCATGGAGCACCACACTGCAGGCAGAAGTACCAGATTTAGATGTAATGCAGCAGCATGGATGGATCTCTAGAATGTAGAACCGAGTTGAAAAATAACATGAATATGATTAGAAATATATGCGCACGAAATGATAAAATACTTTGTAAGAACATATTTTCAAAGATACGTGTTAAATACATTACAGTGGTTGCCTACAGGGGGCCAGGAGCATGTGAGTTAGGGATAATAAGGAATTTAAAGAAAAGAGAGAATGCCTGACGGCCTGAGAGCCCTGGGTGAACCCCGGGAGCCTGCATTGCCCATGGCGATCTTGCCCTGGGCGCGCCCAGCCCTCACTGGACTGAGGCCCGGAAGGCCCGCCTCTGCGGGGGCTCTGGCCTCCAAGGCTGCCAGAGTGTTTGAGCCTCCAGGCTTTTCCAGTGGGCGAGGTGCGGGAACTGAAGCCGAGGCCAGGGGCTATAATGGTCAGGGAGGGCTTCTGGAACCCGTGGGGGAGGGGAAGGGCAGAAAGCAGAGAGGAGGGGACTCAAGAGGGGAAAGTAGATGGGTGAGCCAGCTCTGGCCACCGGGGACTCCCTCCACGCAGATTCTCGCTGTCTGACCAGTAGTTTCCTGGCGGAGACTCTTTCCCACCTGAGGCGCACAGCTGAAGGACTCTCACAGGGGATTCTCAGGGATAAAGGAACTCAGCTGCAGGAGGGACGGAGGTGTCCTCAAGGCAAGGCCCTCCTCCCACCCCAGAAACAGTCTGTTCCCTGGCATGAGCCTGGGGAAGTGAACCTGGAGGGGATGGAGTCTGGGCGGGTGAAGCTAACCAGGACCACCATTGCCCTGCGGGGTTATTCTAGGCACATTTTCTGAGGCCCCAGGGGTGAGAGCAGGGCCCAGAAGGAAGGAGCACTGGGCTAACCGTAGGATGAACTTTCTCACAGGGCTGGTGAGCAGGGCTCAGGGAGGTGGTGAGCACTCCACTGCGAGGGTGTGCAAACCGAGATGCAATGAGTCGGCTGGGACCTTGGAACACGCTGTCCCCGTCTCGGAGACCTTGTCTCGTCCTGGGTGCCGGTGTCTGTAGGGACATCTGCCTGTCTCCCATCGTGCCTCCTGTCGCGTCCATCCCATGAGGCGAGCCGGACGCCGGTCGCAGGAAACGGCCTGTGCCAGCTTCCATTTGAAAGAGTAAATATTAGTCTTTTCAAGAGCTGCCTGTTCTGTGTCACTGGGTACCACTGAGGACACTGAACTGGGGTTTGCAAGGGTGGGGGGTGCGTGCTCTTGGTCCCCACGCCCAGACGGAGTCTGTGGGCCTAACTGGTCACTGTTGCAATGGAGCGCAACAAGAAACAAGCCTCCCCGTGTCCAGGCGGGCATCCCCTCCCGGTCACTGAGGAAGCAGTGAGCCCCCAAGCCCCCAAGATGTGCTCTCCTCACAGACAGCTCAGGCTGCTGCTGCAGAGGCAGGGGGCTGCATGTTTTGACCTGGACCTTAAGGCCTTGGGCCCTGGCTCTGGTGTATATGGTTTAAAATCCTCCGGTTTTGTGGCATTATCGGGAAGGGGGAATGACTTGCTTCTACTTAACTGTCACCCTTTGGGGAGACCTCCTCTGACCACCCCAACTAACAGAGCACCCCCTCACTCTAGCCCCTCATCTTGCCTTCTTCCTTCCGTAATTTTCCTCATTTATTTTTTGTGAGCATCAATAGTTTATTTTTTATTTTTTGATTACGGGAGTATCATCGACCTACCACGTTAGTTGCAGGGGTACAACAACATAGTAATTCCACAATTCTGTACCTTTCTCGGTGCTCACCGCACTGTCACCGTCTGTCACCGTACGTTATTACGATATTATTGTCCACATTCCTTGTGCTGTACTGTTCATCCTCGAGTAATTTTCCTCATTTATGATCTGGCTCCTCCGTTAGGGGGGTCAGCTCTGTGAGGGCAGGGCCTCGGTCACACTGTGCATACCGTCAGCGCTCGGGAGCTATTTGCTGAATGAATATTATGACATCCATACCTTGAAGATATTAAACCGATATAATTCTCATCTCCTCACCTTCTGGAGCCACTCCATCATTATGACCCAGGGGATGGGCAGGGGTGGGGGATGAATGCCATCTCAGGGAGCGGGAAGGGAGGATGGGGGTGGGGGAGGAAGGAAAATCCACCTTCAGCTGGCGAGGAAGGAAACTCTCAGACATGTCCTGTTCTCATCCTCTGGGATGAAATCTTGAGGTGGGGAGGGGGCCCTACACTATGAAAGCAGAGGGGGCGTGTGTCCCACTCCGCACTTGGAGTCAGCCTCCCACGCAGCCTGGTGCCCCTTAGGTAGCCCTACTGGGTAAAAACGGTAGAGCTGTGGATTTGATCGCAAGAAAGTCAGAGTGAGCATCACCCAGCCTCCCGCAGCTCCCAGAGGCCTGGAAGGGATCCAGAAGCTCCTGCATGCTCCCTGGGGCATGAGAAAGATGGCTGAGTTAGAGCCGGTGGGCCTGGCGTGATGGCGCCGTCACGGCCAGTGGTGAGGTGAGGGGGGCTCGCACCCCGGGCTGGACAGCGGCTTGGCTGAGGGGCCCCAGTGAGCCCAGGTGGGGCTGGATCTGCCAGGGCAGGCCCCGGGGCCCCAGCCAAGAGAGCAGGCTGTGAGTGCTCGGCCACGGTGAGGATCCTAGTAACAGGGTAGCACCAGGACCTTTGTGCAAGGCTCCTTGTCTCTGCTAGCAGGAGGCCACCCGTACTGGACGTGCTGCCTCGTACCCTATTGACCTACTTTTTCCAG